TGGCAGTCTTCGCTGTTTATGATTCTTGTGATTTGAGCTATTAAAGAAAAGCCAAAATTCTTAAAGCATAAAACACATGGATCATATTTCATCAGCATTTTCCTATAAAATGGTAAATGTGGACTTGGGTATCCTTAGATTAGGTATCAATTTTTCACCTTGATTAATAGAATAATATGTAAACTAAGAAATGCATAGGTCTGGGTAGTTGCCAAGAATTGTTTTTCAAATCTGACTGCCTAAGAAAAGCGGTCATTTTTGGAGTCAGTGCTCAAACACATCCAGGTGGGATACAAGCTCAGCAGCAAATCTCAGGGACAAGTATCTGTTAAATCACCCTCCTAACCCTTTGTGCAAGAATGTGCACTTGAAATGGAATTGTAAAGGTCTTCCACATCTTGCTGATGCTGCAAAGATGATTTTTCTGTGCAGCTTCTGACACCTCCCCTGCAGTGCTGGCAGATGTGAGCTGTACCCTGGGCACCCCAGGGCCCTGCACGAACTGAGAGATTTTATAGCAGCAAACAGAATGTCAGAGGCTTGGAAATACCAGAGTTTTGACTGTGTTGGAGGAAGCTCAGCAAGAAGTCCAGTAAAATCACTGCTACTTACAGAGGGGTTTGGGATTTTGATTAAAAATGGTGAAACATAAGTACAAACCCTTAACACAATGTCTGCACTCAGTTTCTTTCATCATAATGAAATTCCCTTAACCTACCTTAGAAGTTTTCAGAATTTTTATTCTGTTTTTGTAATGATTGAGCTTAAGTTGGAGAGATACAAAATGTAAAGAAAATGCAGAAGGGGAATATTTTCATGATACTACTAGAGAACAAATATTTTGACTCATACAATATTAAAGACTTCACTGGGCAGACCATTCATGAGCATTTTGTTTATCCACCAGAGTAAAACTGGCTGCAGATCCAAACAGAAAGATGAACTTGAATAGACAGCAGTACCCTGGAGTGGAAAACTGGCATCATTTACTACAGCATGGCAGAGAGGAAGCTGTAGTAACATACATAGACACTTCTTCCTCTTTAATTTAAACCATTTCTAGTCACAACAGACTGTTTTGGCTAGACTGTGAACTTCAAGTGCAAGTGAAGAAAATCATTAGATAAGTACTGTTCTAGTGGAACAAATATAATTGATTTGGGACAATTACATCTTTTGACCCAAGCCAATCAGTGATTTCACTATGTTCCGAAATAACTTGGAAGAGCACAGCTTTTCAGTAAGTTACCCAGTTGAACAACATAATGAAAACACTCTTTTACAGGACATTTCTTTTAAAGAATTGTCCTCATGGATTCTGTTTTCTGTGGAATTGCAGTTTCCCGCATAATAGGTTACTTTTTACAATTCATTTGTTTCTAAGGAGTCCTTAGTTCCCTATTTGCAAGTAAATGGATGTAGGGCTCTGATTTGCTTTGCTCTTTAGGGATATAAGCTAGAGTTGTGATGCCTGTAAGTCTTTAGCTGTGGACATATTAATTACTCAAATGTTATTTAAATGGGTTTATTTTCTAGCCACTCTCAACCATTGGTTAAAGACAGAAAAGTTAAAGAGAAGTTTTCAAGTCACATTTTTTACTACAGGTTGCTAGGCAGGCAATGGTGCCTGTTATTTGATGAGCACGGTCTTTAGGTAGGTTTTCTTTTCACTGAACATAAAATTCTACCCCCTTACACATTCCTCAGCTTGGATATTTCTAGTTCACTTAGTAAGAGCAAAGTCAGTGTAGAAAAACACAACAACTTACCCAAAAATAGTTGCAATTTTCTGAAATATCTGGTCTCTGCGAGTGTCATAGTTCACCTGCCTTTAGACTCATCCCACTCCTAACTCTTTGTCAGAAAATGAACAAATAAAGACCCTTCTCAGGAGAGAAATTTGAAAGGCACTCCCTCTTCCTGCCTATCCTCTCTTATATGCTGTGGGCCGTGTTGGTCAGGTTCCCCCAGGCCACAGGTGCATCTCCAAATCAGTTGCTGATCGCACTCATCTGAAGGGAATGTGTGTTGTGAGGGTTGATGGCTGTCAGTGCATCCTAGGGAGGCACAGTTCTTACAGCTGTTCTTTAAAGGATAAAATTTTCCCATTTTCAGTAGCACCTTTACGGGTTTCTTAAAGCCTGAAAGGTGCTTGGAAGGATGCTCTGGAATTCCATTCATTTTTACACACAAATTAACTCCTTCTTGTTTTATTGTTGGCTAATGTAGCGATTGCTGACGTGCCTTCAACATTCCTGTGATACAGGGAACGTTTTTTGGGAACTGGCATTTTCTTTTAGCCTTTTACATGTGATTCATTCTGTGATAGTTTTTATCTTCAGTGATGTGTTTCCCAGGATGCAGCATACAGTCTGTCTGTATACTGAGATTATACAGATTGTCACAGTTAAATCTACCCAGGCCTCAGTAGCTGTCAGTATTTACAAATAAACACCCTCGATTCTCACTAAGATACAGTGCTTTACTCCTTCCTCGTGAGTTATTTCATTATTAGTTTATGTGTTTAAATTATCTTTAGGCACTTGGCACCACTGAGTCATTTCCTGTACTCTCCAAGAGTCAGATTTTGCACAGAAGTGTGAAAGCCTTGTCCAAAAGCAGCATCGTAATGTTCTGTTCCCAGGCTCCCATGAAGAAGTGTAAGTCAGCCAAGAGTGACAGGTCTAACTAAACCACTCATTTCAGGCCTATCCCTTCAAATCTTGGGCTACTTCTGAAGTGATCCATTGTTCCTTGTATCATCCAGCAACTCCCAGAGACACCTCTGGACAGGTCACAACTCAGGAACTTCTATTAGAGTAGAAATATCTGTTACAAAAACTCTGCTTTCTCCAGAGCAAACAGATTTGTCTTCCCCATGCAATCACAGTAGTGATCTGTCTTGATGCAATCTTAAGTCATTTTAATTAGAGGAAGTTTACAAGTAACTTTGGTGTTTCTCTGTTCCACCTGACAGTGCTGATTGACAAAGACCAGTCCCCTAAATGGAAGCCAGCTGCTCTAGAAGAAGTCAGCGATGAATTTGTGGACAACTGTTTTAAACCACTGGGAAATGACGATCTCAAGCTGTAAAGATCAAACCTGCTGACATCTTACCTATCTGCTTAGTTCTGTGGTATAAAATTTAATAGTAATATGATCAGTTTGGACAAGACTTTTTTAGCTAGCCTGAGATTCCCAAGGCTTTTTTTGTTTTTGATTTTGTTTCTGGTTTTTTGTTTTGTTTTGTTTTGTTTTTGCAGTCGGGAACATTCTCTGTAATGAGAAGATAATTGTATCTCTGCTTAATAATGGGAAAAATCACTTCCAGGCAAATTCATTTTTACTGCTTTACACAGTGATTAACATTTAATTTTTTTGCATGAGCTCTTAGTTCAGGAGGAGCCCTTGGGGAAAAGAGCACAGTTAAGGGGTGACCTAATCAGCAGAAAGTCAAGAGACCTTTTGTGTTCTTGGCTCTGTCACTGATCTGGTAAATTTGGATTGTGCCGCAGGTTCTTCTGCGTACAATGAAAATAAAATATGGTTAAACCTTTAATGCAGTCAGAGCTACAAAAGAAAATGCAAGACAGAATCCATGGTGTTAAATATCCTTTTAAATAAAAGCTCAGACTGATACAGTATTAGTCTGAGAACAAGAAATTGTTCTATTGATTTAACGTTTGTTCATTTTTCAGCCTTGCTGTGTAAACATTGTTTCAAATGTGATAATGTTGCCAGAGCCTAAAGCACATTTCTCTTTGCTTGCATAGCTCATTTTTTAAAATGTCATTATGTCTGATTCAACTGCATAATGAGTATTTCATGATGTCAGAAAATTGCTGGTTTTTCTTGGTCCTACAGTGGTAAAGAAACAAGTGCCTCAAACCTTGCTGTGAGCACCAAGCAGCACGTTTCCAGTGCATTCAAGGTGGCAGGGTTCTGATGCTGATAATACATGAAGTTACACAACACAACCAGAACCCCTTGATACACATATTTGTGGGAGGGAAATTATTTTTTCTATTGTGTGTGCGACAGACAGCTACTAATCTTCAACATTACGCCTTCTTTTTTATGCTGCATCAGATCACGTAGCACTGTATCTTCCTACTTATTTCTACACTTACAGGCAGGTCACAAGTGCAAATTTTGGCTTCTCTGAAGACCAAAGGAAGAAAACTTCTGTTTGAATGCCATAGTCAGTAACCATCACTGGGGAATCAAAAAGAGCTGCAGCAGAACCATTGCAGAGTTTTCAACATTGGGCAGTTCTTATTACCAACAGCAATGGTCTGCAATGGATCAAGGCTCCTTCCTTTTTAGGAGCTGTTGCCTGGAAACAAAGTCCAGGAAATTTGTGCATCAAGGTGAACTACCACGAGTGACATTCAAAAAATCAGAGGTGAGCAAATGGAGAGCTAAATCAAGAAAAAATGGCACCTTGCTTTGGCACTAGAGTCTTGTAAGATAAAATTGTTAAAATTTCAGCTGCGAGTGTATGTTACCATGGACATACTTGTTATGAGACCGTCCTTGAGTTTAGTTCCAAAAGTAATTGAGATTTCATTATTACCTCTAGGGTAATTCTGAAAGTAACAGGTGACTTTCTACCTCAAGCCAGTCCCATAAGAAGTGCAAACCTCCCCCTGCATTATTTAAATTTTTTATATGTTTTACATTCATAAACAATTGCAATTTTTAATTTCCTTTTTAAAGATTGGTTAATTCCATTTTTGTATAAAAGAAGCAGTCTTCAGCCTACTATATTAAATGAAAAACACAGTAATTCCCTGAGAGCACAGATCATGGTTCCTCTGATTGTAAATGACGTACAAGATTTTAGGAAGAACATACTTTTGAATTAATGAACTTTGACTTGCATGTTCAGTTGCTTCCAAAATTTATGTGAACAGGAATTATCGCAAGCTCAAGGTAACGAGATCCTGTCCAATCTGTGCAATCTTACATTTTTTTCAAATAAAAGGCATACAAGCAGATGGTAAGTTGAATTTTATTTGGTCCACAAGAAAATATTTTCCACAAAAAATATTGTAAAAATATATTGTAGTGTGTCTTATTTGGGAATACTGATGTGCCTTACTCCAGAAACATCACCTTTACAAAGTTGTGCTGCAGTTAATGTATTCTGAACCATTATTAGAATATCAAGTCAGTCACATCATATGCACTCAGATTTATCTTGTTTCCTGGAGAAAATATAAAGCAAATGTATTTTTAACTCCTAAATAGAAGTAAACAGTTTTGCAGAGTATGCCAGTCCCAAACTGGAGTGCCTTTATTACACAAAATCAAGTCAAAGAATCAATGGCAACTTAGCTGGAAACCCACTGTCAGTGGCTCTGTGAAAGTCTAGCACAGCTTAGCATAAATTTATTTAGGTGAAGAAGTCTTTATTTTTACAATATATTAGAATTGTGCCTATTAAATGTACAGCAGAGCTCTGGAGAGAGATCTCCCTCAATCTCTTACCAGACTGTAGCACTGAACAGATTTATTTTCTATTAAGGGTAAGTGCATTATTTATAAGGACAGCTTCCTGTAAAAGAGATGATTTTCCTGGTGAGAAGCCGTCTCCCTGTTGTTTGCAAGCTTGTTTGCTTTCCATTTGCTGCGTGCCGTCCCTGAAGTGCCAGTGTCACGGAAAGCATCGTAAAGCAGCTGGAATTGCACTTGGGGCCATGCTGAAGCTGCTGGAATCTTCAGGCACCAGTGAGGGCCGAGGTTGGTGGCTGCAGGTGAGGGACTGGTTGGGCCACCAAGCAGCTGGTGCTGAGTCACCCCGTGGGCAGCTCTTGGGGCAGGCAGGGCAGGCGCCCCACACAGCAGCTCCTCCCCAGGGGAGCAGTCCTGGGCACGGTCAGTGTGCCTGGGTCACCTCCTCTGGGGAAATTCCAAGTGCTGATCACAGCAGATGCTGTGGTGGAACCTTTGGCTCTTGGGTAACTCTGCCTGCTGTTGGACCGGGCGGTGGCAGCCTGCCAAAGGGGAGCTGCTTTCAGAAGTGTATCTGATATTCCTGAAGAGTGTCAGATGCTAAGGCTACATCCAGAGGAAGGATTTGAGACATGGCAACAGGAAGCACTGCAACACCCCACTGCCTGTGGCAACCGCCAGGGTGCCTTGTAAAAGGGTGGGGCAGATCCACCTCGAGGTGCTCTGACAGTGAGTGCAGTTTTCTACCTGCTCCTCACCTGTCTGGCCAACAATGGCTGTGGAGCTTTGGCTTTTTTTTAAATTTCTGTAGTTACAAGTGTTAACATTCTCGAGCCCACACTCATGTTAGAAAGGTTGGCCCTTTTTTCTTTTTTGTAATAAAACTTTATTTTATCTAGAGTAAGAATAGGAATTTTTTTTAATACTGTGGTTAAGCAATATCCAACTGATATGTACTGACTTGATCAGTGTTTTGGCTTCCTTTGCTTTCTAACACTAATATATGGAGGTATTTTAGAGCAAACAGAGTATGACCTAATGTTTTATATGCTGTAAAACTTGAAGGAACGTCACTGTTAGCAGGAGAATTTAAGTGAACCATAAAACCTTAGTCCCACTTTGCACAGGGCTTTGAAGATGACTGCGTAACTTCAAAGACGATGACATTACAGCATAAGCTGATTTTGTTCCCTTTTCCAGCAAAGGCCTGAGAACAGCCTTAATAGCAGGTCACTGGGAATCCAGTCTGATTACTTGGATTTAATGGCAGCCTTGTGCTGTGTCACAGAAAAGCATTTTTCACCCTTTATTCCTGATAAAACCACATCCTCGTATAGGTGAATTTCAAATACCTAAGTTTGTGTCACAACATTTGCAAAACAGCTCAATTCATAGACTGTCACGTCAGAGAATGAACTAAAACCAGCATTTGACACGGTCCTCTTTCTGCTTGCTTCCCATTGCTTGAAAAATCATGCTTTGGATCATTTACTAGAACTATGTGTACCTTTTAAAAATAGTAACAGCTTTAGCCAGTATGGAAAGCATCTGTCTATAAAATGAAAACAAAATGGAAAGCATTCTGATCTAGGAAAAAACCTGTATCTTTTAAACTGGGCATCACAGAAACAGGAACAAACAGGTGGTAAAAGCCAAGCTGTTAGAAGGCCTTCACTTTGTATAAAACGTCAGCAACATTGTACCTTTGGGATGAATAGGAACAATCCATCCGTGTCCAGATCTGTGGAATGCCAGCTGTGAGTGCAGTGGCTCAGGCTGCGAGTCCTGGGCAAGCAGGGAGCAACGTGTGGATGCACTGGGGAAGAAATGCAGCCTTTGAACTCTGGCCTAAGGCTTAGTCCCTAACTCTGCATTCAGAGCACTGCTCAGGGCTGGGGCTCCTGTGACTCCCGCTGGCATTACCATGAACAGGTTTTCCAATGGGAAAGCAGCAGCCTACAGAAGCGGAAGGAAGACATCCTGTCCCAAGGGTGGTACTTCAGAGAGTAATTTCAGTGTAATGCAGCCACAGTTCCCATGAAACAAATTGTCCTAAAGCATTGCCACACCTTTAAATGTTCCTTTCACTAGTTATCATCAGTAGTTTTTGCACATCTTTCTAGGTTACAGTAAAACAACAAAACCAAATCCTCCCAAACCAGCACCCTAACACAAAAAAAAACCCCAAACAAAACCAAAAAACCAAACAGCTTTGGTCTGAACACAGCGACCAGATGTCATTAACCTGTCTTACTGCAGGGTTTTAGAGACAAGCTTTCATGCATTTACAGAAGCATCTGTTAATGATAATGCACTGCTTATCGACACGGGCATGTTTCTCACTGGTTCACTTCAATGGAAGGTAAATAGCATCATCATCCAAATGGCTCCCTGAATACTACTGGGGTTTACATAGCGCTCTCATCACCTTCATTATCTAGCGGTTTTACAGATTTAGTCAGGTCATAGAATCAAAAGTAAAATTCATGACAGCAGTAACCTTTGCTACATGCAGACCTTGATTTCACTTTAGCAAAATGCAGACAAATTCACCAAGTATGGAGAGTTCATCTCACCTACAGACCACTGATTTTTAATGCAGAACATAGAAGTAATCCATGTTTTGTCCTCTGTGGCAGTGCTTGTAGAGGTGCAGGGCAGCCACAGTCTTCTCATCCTCTTTTTAATGCTAACTTCTGGTCACATCCAACACATACAAAGACAGAATATACTCAACATACAGCTGACAATGAATGACACTTGATGAACGGGTTCTACTGGGATCCAGTTAGTTTGTTAGCAACCTGCGTTAAAAGGCAAATTCTCTCAGGCTCTCCCTGCAGACACCTCCCCGCAGGGATGCTCCGAGGACAGCTGGGGGTGCTTTATGTGCGCCGGCAGCCCGCACAGAGCGCTCCCGGACGGGCCAGGCCCCGGCAGGGCTCAGGGCACGTCGCTCTCGATGAAGGGGATGTCGCTGTACTTGCTCTCGGTCACTGCCCACTGCTTGACCGCCTGCTCCAGGATCTCGCGCGACAGCCGGTGTGCGTAGTCCAGCACGATGGTGCTCGAGGGGGCCTTCTCCTCCGCCTTCACCGCCAGCAGCGACGACTTCTCCCCAGTGCACCCCTCGCCACCTCCCCCGATCCTCTCATCCTGGACAGTGTTGGAACCTTGGAAGGCAGCCTTGGATTTGATGCATCCCATGGTACATTGGAAAATGCAGCTGCAAAATTCAGTTCAACAGCATGTTTTGATAACCTGGAAGCGGTTCCCTTGTTCGATGCAGTGTCGCTGCTTCTTGCCAGTGGCTCCAGTTATTTTCAAAGAACAGAACATCTCCTTTTGTGCTTCTTCTGAGGAAATCTGTCAAAACAGCGTTTCATATAAAGGCAATAAATAGTTTACCATTCTCAGTGAGCTCAAAGGAAACCTAAATTCACTACAGGCGCTTGTTGAAGCGGCTTAAATAAATCTCTGCCCAGTGTGCGTAACACACACGTTTTTATCGGTAACATCCATCTACTACAAGTAGGCAAAGTTTGACCTGAATTCACACTGCCTTTGAATGCAATTCCCACTACAGGATCTAGGCCATCTAGGAACGTAAAAGTCTTAGGAAAGAAATAAAGTGTTTCATCCAAGCTGACCATACATTTGCATTGAAAATGCTCCAGGGATTGCTGCTGCTGGAAATAAACACCAAAAGCACCCCACAGAAGCACCACACAACCACCGTAGCCAGAGTCCCGTGTCATGGCTGTCACACACCCTCTGGGCACAATGACACTAATTCCCAGTGTCATTCTGCTGTTGCTCAAGGAGGCTGGAGCAGGGCAGCCAGCAGAAGGTATTCATAAGGAATAAGAGCTGTTTTTGTTTTTTCCCTGGAAAGGGTAGGGAAAGCAGCAACAGCCTGCTGTGATCAAGGCAGTTCCAACAGAGCCAGAGCACCATTCTCACTAGAGCAGGACAACTCCACATCTAGAGAAGGGAAAGTGACCAACAAAACACCTGGCAGAGTCCTTTTCAAGTCCTCAAGATCCAGAATTGGTCAACTCCAAATTCTGGAATATGAGTTTTTGTTTACTGGCCTGTTTCTGGGGCTACTTTCTCTCAGGCGAAGCGGAATCTCACGATACGCCTGACTTTGCTTGGCATGTGCTTACCCACTTATCAGAGTTAACAGACTGCCAGCCAAAATAAAGACTGCGCGGCACAGAAACCAACTGTTCCCTACAGCTTCACCCAATGACGTTGTACTAAGGTCAGCCAAAGTTAAAGATTTTTTGTAAATAGCCTTTGAAAACACAATCATGGCAAAGATGTTAAGCCTTATTTATTTCCTTTATACACTGGAGGAAATAGGGGCTCCAATCAGGTAACCTGATCACAGGCAAATATTTGCCGAGGAAATCAATCCCATTTGCAGGCAAATGGTGCTTCACAAGTAGGATGGGACTTCCCCAGTCTGGCAGCTGACTCAGGAGAACCAGATTCCTGGGACAAGCTCCTCTCTTTGCTGCTTCATAAAAACCATTGCTACCTGTTTGTAGGGCTGAAGGGCAGCACAGAAGGGGTGGCTGCTGCTCCTGGCAGGAAGTTGGTCCTAAAGGGCTCCAGAAACCACCGAGTCCATACAAATAAATATTTGCACACTTTTAGCTTTGCACCAGGACATTTCAGCATTTAGAGGAACATTTGTAAACCACCTCAGTGAAGTTCAGTGGGTCTCCTCTGTGCACACTGACCTGCTGCAGCACATGGCCAGTGCTTCGGGACAGGCACGGTAGTTCACAGGCCTGTAACACAAACCCTGCTGCCAAGGGCTGACCTCCCCTAGCAGTTTTTACCCAACACAGGGGAGAGCCAAGCTATCAGATTTTTATTCCAATAACTTGTCATTAAATGAGTAAAGACTGGATGGATAACTTGTCATTAGGTGAGTAATCAGCAGGATTCCCTTCATTGCAGAAAAATCTACATTTATCCCTGTGAAGTTTCATACCCTTGTCTATCCATCACATAGACTCATCAAACTTACCATGCCTACAGACCAGAGGCCAAGGAGAAGTCTGAAAGCAATTCAGATGGCTGAACAGTTCAGAGCTTTAATAGTAATGTCTTGTGCATGTCTAATTGCAATATTTACCATTAATAAAACATTAATCACTTCCACTTTCTCTTCTGGACAAATATGTAGATCCAAGTACATGGTAAAGAATCACTAGCAGCACGTACCACCCCGAACTGCTGATACCTGAAAGCTGCAGTCTTGATCCAGCCAAGGTAATATACAGCTTCAGTGTATTTTTATGAGAGTTTATCCCTGACACTTTCCATAAAATAGACTATTCAGATTTGGAATTTTTTATCCAAGTCTGGAGCTATCTTTTTGGGGGGGATTTTTTGTCTGTTTTTTTTTGTTTGTTTGTTTGTTTGTTTGGTTTGTTTGTTTTCTTGTTTGGTTTTTTTTTCAGCTTTTTAATTGAGGTCTGTTAAATAGAAGGTAGCTTTAGTTAGGATTTTATTATTGCTTTAACGCAGCTGGAGATTTTGTTAGGGGACATCAGCACATGAGTTAGTGCCTAATGGAAAGGACAAAAAGTGAGTAGGGGGAGGATAAATCTCTCCTAAAGCAGACAGGGAGAAATTCCCTACAGTCAGCATCTTCCTCTGCAGAACTGACCTCCTCTGCCTCTTCATTTGGGCCAAGTCAAACGTTCCAGGGACTGTCCCACACAGAGAGGACAGGGTGGCTCTAGAGCTTGCAGACAGCAAGGGTCAAAATACAACTCAACTGTTCAAATCAGTTGAGCTTCAAAGCAAAGTTATCAACCCTTGTTTAAAATTCTTGCCTGTTGCTCATTTCATTCTTTAGAGAGCTCAGTACTTTCCAAGCCACTGCAGTGAGTGTTTCGGTTTGCCCGGTCTACTGCAGTTAATAATTGTTGGCACAGAAATGATTGCAAATGAAGCTGCCCTCCACCTTCTGGCTGCTTCCTTGTTTTCCTGACAGCTCTTGCCTGCACACACATGGGGAAGTGTTGTTTAAATCTTCTCTGCCTAACTCATCTCCAGAGTGTTAAGTTCTGACAGGGATTTTAACATCTCTACCTTTCCTCACAACGTTCATACCTTGAGAGGGAAAAAACCCAACAAATTAAACCAGCTTGTTTTTCTCCCAGCACAGTGTTTCATCCTGTAACTGCACAAAGCAAAACTGTGCAATAGGAGCCTGTTTCTGTCAGTGCCCAAGCTCTGCTCTGTGGCCAGCTGTGCCTCAGATACCACTGCATAGATGGTTTGGGGCTCAGGCCAAGAGCTCTGCAGCGCAGTTCCTCACATGACAAAGCTGCTGGGCTTAGCTGGAGGCAGAGATCAGTGAACTCTGCCTGCTCTGCTCACTCGCAACCGGGAGCTAAAGCAGCACCATCACAAACCAGAACTCCTCTTTTTAGAGACAGATTTTACAGTAGGTGAAATGCTGATTTATTCATCTGAAAAATGTAGGCTCCTAGTTGTGCTCAATTTTACTGGATGTACAGTCAAAATGTTTTTAAATGTTTCATTTAACTTCATTCATTTAACATTCAGCACAACAAACACTGTTTACAACTTTACTGGAAGTCTTGAAAACAATCAATTTCATATTGGAATTGGAAGTTCCCAAGGATAAGTTAATGTGGTTTTTCACCTGTCACTTTATTTACTGTGGTAATACTAGGAGAGAGAAAATATTGAGGGGGTGGTAGCTGAACTCACCGGGCACACGAGGGCTAAGCAGTCTCTTTGCCAGCCTGGCAAAGTGTTTCCTGCCAAGGTAAGTTCATTTCTAACTACTGAAGGAAACAAAACAATGGTGAAAGGATGCCTGCAATTCACTATTAGACAATATAAAATAGAGGAAAAAAGCATTTATCACATAACTGCCATTTTAAAAAACAAATAGCATTTTTAAAGCATAAAAATAATCAATAAAAATAATTGCAAAAAGGTAAACGTGAGACATCAAAAAATAAGGGTTTCACTGGCCTCTGTAATACATCATCATATGATGAAAACAGGAAGAAGAGCAAGCCTTTTGCTGTTATGCAACATCTGTAGCATCATAAGCAGGTAAGTTCCTGCTACCATTTAAATGTATTCCATCCATGAGAACCTCGGAAAAAATCTTGAAGTTCAGTATTACACTATAAGAAACTGCTTTCTGTAACATTTTATGTTACAGCAGTCACTGGATTAAAAATAAGTCACAGTTTTCAAAATAGCTTCAGAATGTGCAACTTTGCCCAGCTGAAGGCAGCAAGTAATTCCTGCTGTGACAGAGCCAAACTTTTTGGTTCAAATATGACTCCTCCTCCAGAAGGGAAGCTTTCAGTTTTCCCCTGGGTATTTGCAGGAGCTCAGAGTGCCACTTACCAGAACCACGTTTACTTCTAACAGGTCGTCCCCTCGTCCCCAGGAGAGCAGAGACAGCCTCACGTCTGGGGCTCTGCAAAGGGAACCCAGGAACAGAGCTTAGCACTCGCCAGGATGTCAGAGGTGCACATTATTACAAAGGTGATCAACCTGTAGTGCTGGCCTTGCACAAGCCTGCTGCCTTTTCTCTCCCACAGAACTTGACTTTGACAAAGGTAAAAGGATGATACAGCACTTAATAAAATAGATTGAACGACAGGCTGCAACAATTTATACACAGCACCTAATGCCAGGCTCAGAGTGGGGCCATTGCTTGGGCAAGTGGCTCCTGACCATGTGCAGGATGCCAACCTCCTCCCACAGCAAATCCAGGTAAGGAGGATTTCAGCAAGGATATGGGAAGGGTAATATGCCCCATCTGTTGCCTAACCTCAAAAGTTCTCTCCTGTTCTCCCTTCTCCCTTTCAAAGCTTCTGCTGAGACCTGGACCTCGATCATGCAAGGACACAGGGAGAGCAGTCAGACAATCACAGTGCTGCCGTTATCACGGAAACAATAAACTCTGGAACAAAGGTATTCAAAGTTGGAGTTTGGGCAGGTGACCTACCAGCAGAGGTAACCAAACTTAGGCATCCACACCTCTGAACTGCACCCAATCACATAAAATATTCACACCCTCCGTGTGAAAACAGAGGAAACCCAGAACATCCTCTGTCTGCCTCTTCCTAACAAGGTGGGCTGTAATTCAGGAGCGCACGTGGCATTGGCCTTTGGATACTCTGTAGCTCCGAGCAGAGCAGCGGCACAGAAATGGCAGAGGGATGAATCATTCGCTCAGTGCACAGCATCCCCTCCACTGCTGCAGGACTCAGAGCTCCCCATGCAAAGCAGCCCCAGGCAGGGGCTCCCAGAGCAGTCCAACCCACCAGTTCTGCCTCTCCTTAACATCCAGCTTCCTGCAAATCCTACAGAGGAGATGCACTGCGTAACATTTATTATAACAACTCGTCCTAATCATAGGAAAATGAAGTTTTAAAGAGCTACAGTTACTTAAAGACAAGCACAATATCAAAGATTCTGCTGCCTCAGGCAATCACTGATACCCAAATATCCCAAAACAACTCAGGACATGAAAAGCAAAGAAGGAGATCTCTTCCTCTCAGAGCCATCCCCTCCCTCTCCTGTCGCTTAGTGCCAACAAGAGATAAGAGCTAGAGATTGGAAAAGGCTGGATGCAGCAACAGCAAACAACTGCTGTGCAGGATTAGCGTGGAAGTGAAAGTCTCCTGGTTATCTGTCTCGAGGTACGCGCTGGAATTTCAGAGGCTTGGGTTTTTCCCCTCCATGGCCAGAATTGATTAAGCTTTTCCAGGCTTCTAAGCCATTTTTTAACTGAATGGGGAAATGACACATTTGCTTTTCCAAATCAGGCAGACCTCTAGTTTACTTTAAAAGGCTTTTCAATAAGAGCACAGCTGAATCATAAAATCAGAACCATAGAAAACCAGAATCATAAAATTGGTTTGGTTGGAACAGGCCTTTCAGATCAAATCCTACCATTATTCCAGCACTGCCACATCCACAACTAAAACCTGTCCCTAAGAGCCACATCTTCATTTCTTTTAAATCACCTCCAGGGATGGTGACCCCACCACTTCCCTGGGCATCCTGTTCCAATCATGACCACCCTTTCAGTGAAGAATCTTTGCTATTATCCAACCTATCCTATGCCCCCTCAGGCATAACCTGAGGTCATTTCCTCTGGATCTAATTGCTTGTTACCAGACAGAAGACTGAGCCCCACCTGCCTACAACCTCCTTTCTCAGAACAGAGTTACTTAATGGAAGCAATTTCCATGTCAAATTTCATCTCTCAAGCAGTTTAGCAATGCAGTTAAGGAACATGAAAATCTTCAAACTAGAGGGGAAAACAAGAGAGAAAAAAATGTTTCTTCTTCACTTTATGATTTACATGCACAGCGCAAGTGGCGTGTTCTTGCTGTTAAACAGTACAGCTGTGTTGATGTGAGTTTTTATGCTGACAAACTCTGGAAATCTAAAACCAGTACTGACTTTAAAAAAGCAAAAAGCCCCACAAAATCAAGAAACAGTCTGCCCTCTCCCCAAAGCACACGACCACAGAAGCTAGGGAACAAAAAAAAGGGCTTTCTGCACTGTTCTAGCAATCTTACCCAAGCTTTGGGAAGTGGCAAACAAAGATGAAGTACCACAAGAAACCTTTGGGTGAAAATATCAGTAGTTCAGAGAACAGCAATGCCAGTAGGTACAGCCCTCAGCAGCCACAATGTTATTCTTCATCCGGGAAAAAGAAGTCTTGTTAAAAGCAAAGAACACTGTGTGCTTGGTAGCTGTCTAATTTCATGAAAGTAAAACTGTACCCAGTTGGCCTGTCCTGAAATCCTCCCTCCTGTGCAGCAGTTTATTCACCAGAACTGCACACACAGCTCAGGGGGAAGCCTGAAGGCCATTGGAGAACAGGATGCTAGAAACTTCTTACAGGTTCTACTCATATTTTACCTCAGCTGCTTGTCCAAACAGCCACATAGACTGCTGTTAGTCCAAATTTGGACAGAAATACTTACAATGTATTGATGGCTTTCCCCCCAGTGTCTCAGAATACAAGCATGCACCAGTACAGACTCTGTCAGACCATGGACAAGAGGGAACATTAACCCAGCTACCTGCATAGGAACAGGAGAAGGATGCCTACCATTGATGGAAGCCTGCTTTCTAGGTGGGTAAAATGAACCACTGGATTTCCTTAGCAATTAAGGCCTTGGAGTGAGGCTGTAGAAGAAAGGGCATGAAGAAGATGCAGTGCTTCTCAGCAGGAAGTCTGGCCAAGACTTAAAGAAATCCATCTGCACGAAGTTTAGCCAAGACTTAAGGAACTCAACTGCAGGAACTATGGAGGAATGCCTTTGGAAGGGAAAGCTAATAGTGATAAACGAGATCCAATATTCTCCAAGACCCCAGATACAAAATAATGTTCAAAACTGGTGAATGAACAGAAACAAAATACCAGAAATATAAAGTTTTTGACATATTTATGTGCAGCTGTTTCCTTGCCCTGCATAACACCAAAGGTTCCACGCTTCTTTCAGCAAAGCCCACAGCTCTTGTCATCATTAGCCCCTCCCACCCATACTAGCTACAAATCCACGGGCTGAAGACCATGCCCGTGGCAGGGGAAAACACAAGGCACACCACCAAAGGTGTCAGAGACACTGGCCAAGTCCCACACTGAGGTTAGACTGCTCTAAGGCACAGCACTGGGCCTGGACAAAGCAGCCTCTTGGTTATTACAATGCTCTTAACACTGGAACAAAGCAAAGTGGAAACAGGAATTTTCCTACATATACCACAGAACTTCCATCCCAACAACATCCCATCAATTGTGGAGTCACAGCCTTCCTACTAGCATCTTCTTCAGGAATACATTGAAACATTAAGATACTTACTCTCAGACTAAGGCTCAGGACCTAGGTTTGTAAAGGTGCATTACTGTCCTCCACAGGTGCCAGGCAGAGACAGAGCTGCAGACAATGAAAAGGGATGCACAAATCTTTACGAGCAAGAAAAGCCCCTCCTGCAGCTATTGCTGGCTGCTGCCCAGCCTGGGGATCCTGCCAGCAGGAACTGAGGAGCAGCAGCAGCTAAAACAGCGGATCGGTGTCTCAGGCTGACAGGGTCGGGTTTTATTGTAGTGGCTGTCACAAGATTCAACTACGAACATATGGAGCTGCAGAGCATAAGGTATGAATGAGGGACACTGCCTGGCTTTGTGACGCCCTCAGGAAGCCAAAGGCTCCACTGGATTAACACAAATGAAAGTCAGAAGGAAGGAGATGGTCAAGATCTGCCCAAGACTGACCGCAGAGGAGCACAATAAAAGCAGCACACAACCCCATTCTGTTCTTTAATCTCCAGAAGCCAATTATAAAAAGGGAATGAGGAATGCGCCAGAAAAGCCATTTTCCCACATCTCGCATAGGAAGGCACAGGAAAACACAGCCCCGCATTTTAAAATCACAACTATGTGATTCCTTACTCCACAAACTGAGGAGTAAGGGGACAAAGAGAGGAGTTAACAACCAGATGCTCCAACTGTACAAAAGCTGCCCCGAATTGCAACAAAGATCTATGTCAGCCTTAAAAATCACTGTCTCACAGCTCTCCCCCGGTATTTGTTTCCTTGAATTCCATCACTCCCAACGTGCCAGCTCCTACTTGCAGCAGTTGCCGCCTTCGCGCCTGGGAAGCGGGAAGGCCGGCAGCCAGGCGAGGCAGCCGTGCCCGCACAGCCCGGCACCGCTGCCAGCTCTGTCCCCCAGGAGCCTGCCCACGGAAACACCCTGTCCCCAGGGACACCAGCGTCCCCAGCCTCTGCCCAAGCCCTTGGGCAACTTGTACGAATCGAGGTGATTTTAAAGCAAGAATGTTCTCAGCAGAACGTGATGTTCAGAAGAAAAATAATTTGTATGTATTTGAAGGTTAAAAATGCCACTTTGTTAAGGCTACAGGATAAATCCCCGCATTTTTCCTTTTTTAAAAATTATTGTATTTAGAAACCTAATTTGGACTGCTACTTACTGAACTATGAGAAAGCATAAAATATTTCTAAATCTTTAACAATTTTTGCCACGACGAGTCTTACATTATTAAATTTGTACTTTGTAACATGCCAGACGAAAGTAACCTGCTCCGTATAAGGGTCAGTGTGGAAGCCTGGGAAGGTACTCATGGCAAAGCAGGGACTGACAGACCCTCACATCACCTCGGCCGGCAAATACAGCAGCCTCACGTCTTCCCCACAGCAGGAACACCGCCTGGAGAGAACCAGCCACGCCGTTTACCTTCCCACTCCGCACCACTCTCACTGCCGTCCGTAGCAGCACCTTTCCTCAGGGTGCCCAGCGGGAGCGGCACCTCCGCTTTGCTCAGTTCGGAGGAGTCCGTGGCCGGCAACCTCGCTGCGAGACGATGGGAGGAGTAAAGCAGCACCGCCGCCTGTCCTGAGAAACCCCACCTCAAAGCTCGGCTCTCCCCGCTCCCCCGCACGCCGTGAGCCCGAGGCGGCCGAGGGCCAGCGCTGCCCGCGGCCGGGCTCGCCCCGCGGGTGCGGCCGCGCATCCGCCCTCCCTCCCT